TTTTAAATAATTGAATTTAGGAGAAGAATTTTATTATTCATAAAAATAATTTACACTTTAAAGAGAATTTTTAAAAAAATTTTAAAAATATCTAATTACAATTTTGCTTTGAATTTTATTAAATTTTATTCCGGATTGTTTTATGTTAAAGTATGTGTTGTCGAGAAATGTGATTTTTTTACAATTTTGACAATTTCCTGTTTCCTTTTTGTCGTTTTTTCTAATATTCCATGCGCCTTTTTTTTACTTTTTTGCAAATTTTATGCGACTTTTCGTGACATTTGTTGAGAATTTATGCGACTAAAGCGACTTTTTTTTTAGTCTTAAAGTCGATCCGAGCCCTGATTTTGTTAATTCTTGCTAGATTAAAAACATTTTTAATTCACAAAGAAAATAATTTTTGTATAATTTTAAAAAAGTTTCCTCCAACTTCAAATAAAATTCTCTGATATTTCTTGATTGAAAAGAGTCTTTTGCTTTTCTCTAACTTCCCTGGGCGCAGGGCACATTATTATATTTATCAAATTTAATTAAAAATTTTGGAATTTCTCCATCAAAATAGTCTCATCCATATCATTTTAGAAAATCCACGTTAACAAATTCCATGGAAGTATACCCAGTGGAAATTCCATGGACATTCTGCAAGCATTTTTCAGTAAATCGGATGTACTCAGAACTGTTTTAGAATTTATTTCTGATATTCAGAAAAAATTTGTATTTTTACAACTTTGGTACGCAATTATCAAATTTAAGTCTTTTTTAATGAAATTGGAGCAGGGTTGACACGCAATCTGGAAACCTAGAAATGTCAGGGAATTTTATAAACATTGAAAAAACCTGGAAAAATTTGGGAATTTTGATCGAAATCCTGGAAAATTGGTATTTTCTAAAGTTTATTCTTGAAATCTAACCTTACAAAATTATATCAAAATTAATTGAATTTTAAGAGTTGCGTTTACAATTTTCATAAGTATAGATGAATTTCAAAAGATTTCAATTTAAAATTTTGTAAAATTTTAATTTTGAATTAATTTAATTAGAAATCGTCTTAGAGAACGTAGATTTTTGAGAAATTTTAATTATTCCAATTCTTCTGAAATTAATAAAATTTTGTAATATATATTTTTAATAGATTATTAAAAGTAATGGTTTAATGGAAGAATTTTAATTAAAAACATTAAAACAAATTGAATTTTGAAGCAATTACAAATGATTGCAGAAATTCAATTATTTTCAAAAGCACTAAAATTCTTCTTAGCAATTCAATTAACTCCAACAATTTTTATAAAATTTATGGCAAAATTTCAATAATTTTCAAAAACTTTTATCAATTCAATGATTTTTAATAAATCTATTATACTTTTATAAAATTTTCCAAAAGAATTTAATTATTTTAAAAAAATTTTTAATTCTACGCAAACATTTCATTATTTTCATATGTAAATAATAAAACTCATCTCACACTATCAATCATTTTTAATATAATTTTAATGAAATTCCTTAAAAAATGAAATTATTCTTAAAATTTTTATTAAAATTCATTAAAGAAATTCAATTATTTAAAAAAACATTTTAATATTTAAATATTTTTAAAAATAAAAAATAAATTTTGTAATATATAAATGTAGTTTTGAAATTCTGGAAAAATTCCGTTTTTTAACCTGGAAAACCTGGAAAAGTCAGGGAATTTGTAATGAGGAGAAGAGTGGCAACCCTGTTGAAGCTTTCTTATTAAAGATGAGCTTTTCCGAAACAGGGGGGTACTCAGAATTTTTTTTAAATTTACTTCCGATTCAGGAAATAAATTTCTATTCTAACTATAAAAACGACGCTGGTCGCCCACGACAAAATATTCCATGGAGTTCCCGAAGATGTTCCATAAAAATTCTGCAACATTTTTATTTTCATAATACTTTAACATTTCTATTATGATAAGACTCTAATAATAAGCTTTGTTATATATTGTTCTCCAAATGCGTATTTCAATCAAGTTTTGCAAAATATATTGCAATAAAGCTCGTTATTAGACTCTAGTCATAATAGAAATGTTAAAAGAATATTAAAATAAAAAAACTTGCCGAATTTCCAGGGGGTATTGGCCACATTCGTACAGAATTCCTATCGAATTCGTATGAAATTACTACTGAAATACGTGTGGCGTTTTGAAACGTTTTTTCGAACGAATATTCGTACGAAAAGTACCCGGATTTTTTAGAATGGATTTTCAAAGAAAAAATTTCGTTCTGAAATCCGTATGGAAGTTCCCACGAAAATTCTTTTGACAATTTCTTTAAAAATTTTCGCACAAATTTCCTTACAAATGTCGTATGAAATTCGAGCGAATTATGAACGGATTTATTTTGCATGGAAGTTTCGCCGAAACAACAATAATCATAAAAAGGCAATATGAGGGTTTTGACCAACAAGGCTCGCGTAGCAGTAGGAAGTGAATCCTTATTTCTATTCAATTGTTAAAGTACCATGAATGTTTTTCGTGAAATTTCATATATATGGTCTTTCCAAGATAAGGATCGATCTACTGTTAGACCAAAGTCTCTCACTTTCTCGCTAAACTTTATTGGTCTACCATCCACATTGAGAGGAGATAAATGTGCTAAAAATTCATTAGAGGGACAGTTCGATTTTGAGATAACAATTGCTTATTTTTTAACATTTATGAAGAAAACAGGAAGAAAGTGTTAAGAAAAACTAAAAGTTAATCACAGGTTGTTTATATTTCATGAGGTTTTATTTAATTTAATGATTTATCTTTCTCACATTACATCTAAATTCAACAAATTTTAATATGTTTAATTGAATATTTGATTTTTACACACTATTACTATTTATCATTTATCACTATTACTATTATTACTATTATACTATTATACTATTATACTATTATACTATTATACTATTCACTATTACTATTTATCATATTTATGTAAGGACCAAATACCTACAATAAATAATAAATTAATCAGAACGAAAATACAAAAGGTCTGCATTTGGCCATATATCCTACCTGGGTGGGTAAGACGCCCCCCGCGTTAATTTATTACCATTCATTACAATAATTATTATAAAAAATGGAAAACGCCGATCTAATATGTTTCTCTGATTAATTTGAAACAAGAAAATAATTGCAAATATTTTCTTACGTGTTAAAAATCCTTTATTCTTGTAATAAGAAATTTTGTCCAGGTTTGTACAGATCGTGATTGTAGTTTGAAAAATGTTTTTAATTTAAAGCTAACAAATAACACTACCCAAATGCCACGCAGGAATTCTTGTTATGGAAATTTTGTAAATAATTGAAAACTATTTCATAAATATTTTTTTATTTCGGCAGACATGATGTTTTAAGAGATGAAAATAGAGTTTGACAGTTGATTCTTTACCATATGTCCATATTCAGACACAAATAACTCAAATGATCAAAGTTTTTAAAAATTGATCGAAAACGACTAAAAATAAATTCTTACTTGGGGGATCTTCGGGGTCGCTGAATTCAAATTTGATGTCCAATTTTCAAAATTAAAAATGTCGGCTAAAACAATTTAAAAGTTAGGGGATTGAGCTAAAAATACTTACTCTGGATTTTCGATCCAAAAAAATTTAAAAGATGTCGGATTGAAGAGGAAATCCCGCCATTTTGAAAATATCTCAATCTAACATTAAATTTAAATGTAGTGACCCCAAAAAACCTTCAACCCCTATTATTTTCATCCCTTAAAACATCATGTCGGTCGAAACAAAAACCCGTATAAAATATTTTTTAAATTTTCTACAAAATTTCCTTAGAAAGAAGTCAATCCCGGCATCGCACTTGGGTAATGTTAAACATGTAAGTTAGGCTCTTAAGACATACATTGGAAAAAAACCCTTCTTTTCTGTCACAACATTAGTAATTAATTAACTGCTTCGAACTTACTATGTGGTGATTAAATAAAAAAGAATGTATTATGTAATGATGGTTATATACATTTGGAAGCCACAAATCAAAGTTTTCGTTTGTTTTTCATTTGTTTTGTCATTTAGGAAAGGTTAATTATGAACCCAAATAGCCCTCGACCAAACACTAAATTCTGTCGTGGCAAACTTGGATTGTTTCCACACAAGTTAAAATTTTTTTTAAATTACAATAATGATCTGTACCTCCTTTACCAATTACCGATACTTGATGTTTATTTAAATACAAATGTGTAAGTATAGATAACCATGTTTCCGTCAGTTGATCCACCACTGGTGCATCATATGTGACTGTCCACGAAAAAACCGAGCTTAGCTTCTAAACGACTAAACGTGAATTTTACAGGGCAAGCGATTGAAGTAGAAGCAGAAGAGAAGAACTCGACGAGTGGAGTAAAGCTTGTGAAGTCGGTTCTACAATGGGCACGACTGGACGTTGTCGTCTGTCGTGGACGTGTACGCGCTGACGTCACGAACGTGGAGTTGCCAACTGTTTGGGAATTAGTAAGAAATTCATGTTTTTAAAGGTTATGAATGATAAAAATTAATTTTTAGTAAAATTTCGTTCATTGTCAATAAAGACTAATTAATTAATTAATAAATACATACATATAGTAAAAATGAATTAATGTAGTAAAATGTGTATATTAAATTATTCTGAAAAATTATAATTGTAAAAAATTCAATAAATTGTTAAATATTTGAAGTTTAAACCTTTTTTAAAAAAACTTTATAAACAAATAAAGAAATATTATAAATATGCTGCATGTGCAAAATTGTTAATTAAATTTAATCTCCAGAATTTTCGATAAGTCAATATAACATAACCTCTTCTAAATGTCTTTTTAAAAAAATGTAAAGATAAATACACAAAAGTGTAACATTAATAATACAAAATTACGTCAGGTGTGGATAAAAAGAAAGAAAGAATACAAAGATTATTACAATTTATTTATTTGTATTATCCACTTTATTTTCAAATTATAAAAAAAATCTTAGTTACTTGTGGAACTTCTTAATTGTGTCCTCTATTAGAGTTTCTATTTCATTAAAACATTGCCTCTTGTTTTTTTGTTTTAGTCCGGCCCAAGCATTTTTTATTATCAATAAATAATCTACTGTTGAATCGCTGCTAACTAAAATGTACAAACAAACAAATACTATTAATTTTTTAAAATTAATTTTGAAATTTACTACTGAGAATAAGATATTATTACTGGTTTTTAGTGGAATGATATTACCTCCTCCTAAAATGTCGACATTTTTGGGTTCTAAGTCGGTATCTTCTTCTTCAAATTGTTCATCTTCGCTACTGATGTACTCAGTGTCATCAATTTCTTTATTAGGGCGTGATAATTTAAAATTACTTTGCGTCCTAAAAAATGAAAGAAAAATAAAAGAAAAATTCAAATACAATAACTGTTTGAGATTTCAATAGAAAATATTTCAAATTTTAAACAGAAATGTTTGGAATTTAAAACAGTTTTATTTCAAATTTCATTCAAACACTCTGTATTAATTTTTTAAAAAATGTTTTGAAAATTTTTAAAAAAATGTGTTTTAAATTTTAAGAATAAAATTTGTATTACATTTTGAAATGTGTTATGAATATTCAAAATTGTGTATGATAATTGTTACAAACATTTTTTTATAAAATTTTTAACAAAAATGTATAACGGGGTGTTTACTTTCTATGATCGACGTATATTTGAAGAAACATGGAAGTGTAGTATTCCCAACTGCTTTCAAATTTTGTGGCGGCTGAACCCGACGGAATATATGTTGTGTCTTTTTTTCGTTCTTGGACATACAATGCTTATAGATTTCTCCATTTATTTTGCACTTCCTTTTCTGTGATAAAAAAGTATAATTCCATTATTTAATACGTACAGATACATTTTTTTATTATTTACTCTAATGTTAAATAAAAAAACGAAATAAAATTATTATAAAATCAATTATATTTTATTATTCATTATTCTTATTTGAAATTCGACTAAAAAATTAGTTTTTATTTTAAGCTAAAGAATGTTTCTTTCGAAAAAATATAAGTAAATGTAATAACGCTTATAGACCAGAGAAATAAAATTTGCTAAAAATCCGATCTGAATTTCTGATTTAAAATAATCTTTAAAAAAATTAGGTATTATTTGTTTTTTTACGTAAAAATAGAATTAGTAGTGTTATCTCACATGCAATTACTTTCCACGCATTTTTTGTCATAACATTGTCCTTGTAGCTGTCCCCCGATTTGCAGTACAAGCATTTTTTTGTTTCTACCAATTAAATGATCAATTCATTTATGTCGATATCACCCATTGTTGAAGATAAATTGAATTACCAGCAACAAATTACTACACGAGCAGAAGAAATTGGGAAAACAAAAATATTAATTTCAAGTCGCAAACCGTTAGGAATATTATCGCATGGAAGCAGAAAATAAATAGTCCTGCAGCCTGGCTGCATACCGTGATTTCTTTCCCTTCGCTCTCAATTTTCTGAAATGCTTAAATCTAATTGGTTGTCCATAAAGTGACAAACTGTGGATAACCAATCAATTATGACCAAGCCTGAATTGTTGGTATTATAGTATATCTGGTCAACTCTATTCTTACAACTGTTTAAAACTTAAATAATGATTATTATTCTTTTACAAACGCTTTCTTTAATTGCTGCATATTTAAATGTAGTTAATATATATATATAAGATGGAGCCAAAATAGAAATTTCCTTCGCAGATGGTGGGTCAAACCGCACATAAGAAGAGAGTTAAGAGATCTATTTGGTGCATATCAAACTTTGTTTTTATATTACATGCAAAGCGATCATGAAGAATTTTATAAGATGGCTCGTATGACACCAAATCAGTTTGACATTTTGTACAATTTAATTGCACACAGACTGCAAAAAGCCAGCATCCGACGGCCTTTATCAAAAAAACTTCGTTTGATAGTAACTTTGAAGTATGTATAGTGCTGAATAATTAATTTATAATATTTGTAAAATCTTTTATTTGTTATATTTTTTCTTCATCTGTTATTGATAAGTATAAGGAATTGAACAATCGAATTAAATTCGCACAGGAGTTAATCGTAAATCTGTGTATTAAAAAAATTTTGTTTTCAATCAGACATTGCAAATATATAATTGATAAGTATATAACTTTGGATGATTTTAAGACTTTTCTTCAGGTTTAATATTTTGATTTTCTTTAAAATTATATCTTGTGATGAATTGTGATAAATTGTTATTAACACCTGGACTCTTAAACATTCAGTGATATCTTAAATACTATTCTGTATCCATTTTAGAAAAATTATTTTCAGACTTGTTTCCTTTAATTTAACAATATTCTTTTAAATATACACTAAAACTTTGCAAATGTAAACAATATAGAATGTTTGTAAATATTTTTCTAAATCCAGGGTGTCTACTAATCCGAAAAAAACCGGGAATTTTTCACCAAATTGAAAAAAGTTTTATTTTTATTTGTTTTTAAAAAATTGCTTTTTATTTCAATTTTTATTGACATTTATATACTGTTCTCTAAATTTGAATTTGTCAAAAATAATTTATAAAAATTTTGAAATGTAAGATTTTTGAAAATTTTTAATTCTATTGTTTCAAAATAATTGAACATTTATAGACAAATAATTGAAAATTTTGAAAATAAATGAAATTTCTTTACATTCTATTCAAAATAATTAAATTCTTTCAAAGAATTCTATTAAAATTTTTCGAAAATATTCAAGGGAAGTTAGTTACCGTAATTACAATTTTATTTTAAAAATTTTTTCGCAATATATTCAATTATTTTCATAAATAGTAGAACTCATTGCAGAATTTCAATGATTTTTAATAGAATTTTAATTGAATTCCTCGAAAAATGTAATTATTCTTAAAAATTTTATTAAAATTTGTAGAAAGAATTTAATTATTTCTAGAAACTGTAAAAAAAATTCTTCTAAGGAATTATATTACTTCTATAAAAAGCAAAATTTTTTAGATTTACTAAATTCTTTAGAATATTATTTTTAAAAAAATTGTACCCAAGATTTCAATTATTTTTATAAATAATTACATTTTTCTCTACAATTAAATTATTTTCAAACATTTCACGCAAACATTAATTATTTTCATAAATAATAACATTTTTTGAAGGATTCAATTTCTTTTATAAATAGTAAAATTCTTTGCAGACATTCAATTAGTATCAATATATTTTAATAAAATAAAAGTAATCAAATTTTCAATTACAATTATGAACAGACAAAATTATTAAAAATTTTTTTTAAATTCTTTGTTTAATTCAATTATTTTTCAAATTTTTAATTAAATTTAATAAAAAAACATAATTTTAAAAAAATTTAAAGAAAACTTATCAAAAAAATAATGAGTAGTTTCTTATGAAAATATAGAATAGAATCGTTTCACGTGGGTAGATTCTCTACCAGGCCGAAATGTACTGCCTATAGATCTTTGTTCGGATTTCCGACAGAAATTAGTACCTATATTTATTATAATTCTGACAGTGTATTGAGCAGTACATTTCTCTAAATATTTGTTTAAATATGGTTTAAATTTTCTTACTTTACCGTGCTGTTTCTAATTTTATTTTTGTAGAATGTTCTTAATTTATTAATGCTTTGTAAATAATTTGTTTGTAGTTATTTAGCGAATGGCGACAGTAATCGTACAACTGCAAATTTTTCCCGCATTGGCTTATCAACTACTTACAAAATAATAGCTGAAGTTTGTCCTAAATTATGGGATTGTTTGTCTCCTCATTATTTAAGTAGAAAAGATGCCTTTGATTGGCGAATAGTTCCGCGCAGTTTTCATGAGAAATAAGATTTTCCTAATTGTGTTGGTGCCATGGATGGCAAAGAAATAAGGATTAAAAAGCCGCCACATTCAGGAACAATGTTCTTTAACTATAAAAAGTTTTTTAGTTTTAAACTTTTGGCAGCTTGTGATTCGCATTATCGGTTCACTTGGATAGACGTAGGAGATTACGGTAATTTAATTGTTAAAAGTAATACAAATTTAACTTCAAATGTAAAATTTAATGTTTATTTTTAGGATCTGTCAGTGATCTATCTGCGTTTACTCACACAGATTTCAGTATCGCCCTGGAAAATGACGAAGTTGACTTGCCAGAAGAAGCTGCTATACCAGGTACTAATATTGTAGTACCGTATTGCTTTATTGGAGATGCAATTTTTCCTTTCAGGCAATATCTCATGAAACCTTTTGACAGGAATCGTGGATTAAATAAGATACAAAGTAACTTTAACTACAGGTGAGAAAGTCAAAAATTATATGTATTAGTTCCTTATTTTTCGAAAAATAATAATTTTTTAGTTTAATTAAAAGTTAAAAGTAGTTTCAAAATCTTCTTTACTAAAAGTACATTTTTTTCAAACTGTTATTTTCCCAAAATAAAATTGCGTATGAGAACAATATTCTTCTTTAAATAAATTATTCTTAATAATTTTTAAAAATGTTTTTTGAGAATTTTTTAAAATAAAAACTAGAAATAATTTCAAAAAAAAATTTCATCTAACTTTGTAAAAAAATTAATTCTACAGAACTTTTAATAAAATTAATATTTTTAAAATTTAATTATTTCTAAAAATTCATTTTATAAAGCTTCTAATATTTAATTATTTTCTAAAATTTGAACTAAATTTCAATTTAAATCAATTTTTAATAGAAAATTCAACTTAGAATTCAATTATTTAAATAAAAAATTAAATCATTTATTGAATAATTGAATGTTTTTTAAAATCGAATTCTTCTTCTTATTTCGACGAATGTTAATAAAATTTTTAAGAATAGTTACATTTCTTCAGGCAACTGAATTAAAATTGTATTAAAAATAATTGGCATTCTGTGATGAGTTTTCTTATTTATGAAAATAATTCAATTTCTAAGCAGAATTTTATAATTTACGAAAATAATTGAATCCCTGCGTAAACTCCTTTACAGGGCTCTAATTGTGCGACTTTTTCGGTTTTTTTCGACTTTTTTTATGAAAAATGCGACTAATCGACTTTTTCGAGATTTTTTTTAGTAAAATGCTACTAATCGATTTTTTTCAAATTTTTTAATTACTTGTTGACTTAAATTGTGAATGGCAGAAATCTTTTTTTGTAAACAATATTGTTCACAAAATGGTTCTTCTCTTTTGTGAAAAAATAACATATTATCTCGTTTCTTAATATTTTTGAAGGAAATTCTCAATTTTCATAAGGAAACAATTTGCATCATTTTTATTTGTTAATTACAATTGCTTCAATAAAATTTAAAGTTTTTTAAAAATTAATGAAAAAAAAGTTTATAAATTCTTTTTGTCAATTAGAAAGTGAAACTTTTAAAAGTTTTAGAAAGTTGAAGGAATAAGTTTTAGTCAAAAAAATTATCTGTTACATTTATTTACAAATTTCTTTCTCGAAAACATCTATAACTTCTTTTTTAAATAAATATTTAATTATTATTTTTCCATAGGAAATAAAATTCTTCAAAAGATTCAAATTCAAACCTTTTGGAAGTTAAACAACTTATAAAAATTTTTATAAAACATGAAGAAATCGGTGACTCTGAGTCTTCGACTCGGAGCAATCGATGTCTTCATGTTTTATTACAATTAAAGATGACCAAGCGATAAAATCATTATTTTATATTATAAGACTTTATAAAAAAAAATTTTTAAATTATTTTTTATGAAAATAATTGAATTATTGAGAAGAAATTCATAAAACATTAGTAAGTAATTGAATTTTGCAGAATAATTTTGATATTTACAAAGATAATAATTGAAGTTTTTAGGAGAATTTTAATAAAATTTC